CCATTCAATTTCTTTTCATGGCAACATCAATCAGATCGTAAAACGATTTCGAGATATTAACTTCCCTGCTTGGTTTTCCTTTGTTTTGTGCTCCTATTTTCTTCTGAGTAAGCACGTCTCACTTTGAGATTTTGTAATGTTTTAGTTTTTAAAGAGATTAAAACAATTATTCAACTAAACCAAATTGACCACAAGTGCTAATTCAGCAAAGAAGACAAAAAGTCCATACAAACCCAGATGAACTGGGGAATTCGAAGCGACTATAAAATATCCAAACAACTGTTTCTATCGTTTGTCTGTATCTACATTTTCAGTGCAAACTATCTGCATAACCCAGGCTAAATGACTGTCCAACTAGCCGCTTTTTCGACATATTGCCACATTATCACTGGGCCAATATGTTTTCGCTATTTCATACGACACTTGTGCACCTTATTTATTTGTACGTTATGCAGCACATGGGTCCAAAACTGTTAGAATTCTAAGCATGACATATAGTCCGCTTCCTTCAATTAAAATGGCTTTAGGAAACAAGCAATCCTGACGCAGATACTACAAGCTACATAAGGCGTGATGGATGAATCACAAGGTCAAATCTGATGCCTTGAAGTCAGAGTTGATTGTCACAAGGTAAGCAGGCAATGGTTATGAACCATATAACTTTTTCAGTGATTCTTCACAATTAATGTTTATTTGCAGACAGCTAGTTCACTCCAACTTAACCTGGATCATTATATTCTAAGTACTTATCTTAAAATTAGGATTTTGACATTCAAAAACTTGGTAGTTGTTAGACGCAAACAACAATGTAATAAATGCCTAGGGCATAGAATTTTTTGGCAAGTGAACAAATCTAAATGAGGTTCTAGAATATGTAAGGGACTCGTTGGAAACGAAAAGCCATTACAACTTACGTCATATTTGCTGAATCTCCACAGTCTTGCTAATAATGTATTAGCGGCTGTGATACTAAGTAGATAATAGAAAAGATATCATCCTCACAACTCATGGACATATATGAGTTTTTTTCAAAATGATATTGACGGTGATACTCCGCAAGGTTTACAAAGTAACTATGGGCAGGCTCTCCAACTACTTCATCTCCAAATATGAGAGAGAAAATGACGGATCGCCAAAAGAATGTCTCATTGTTTCAATTTACATTATTGGAATGTCCAATTACAGGTGGAAACATGCTCTCTAATACAAAAATAGTAGAAAAATGAGACTGGACCTTGGTTATCTTGTGGTGTTTGAATGAACTAATGATTCCTTTGTACTTGTTCAGTGCTTCATTTCGAACTGTAAATTCAATACATTCGTTTGTGGTTATCTAGTACTTCTTGATTCGATTACGTTATTTCTGGGATTCTTAGTTCATACTATAATTCAAATGCTCCTATTCATCACATTGGCGTCGCGATTGAACCTGTGATGGGACAGTTGGACATACATTCAGATCTTGATGCTTTTGAGGATTACTTTGAAAGGTTCGAAATCTGGGCTATGACCAAGGAAGATGATGAGGATGTTAATATTGTAGCACATTTCCTCACACTCATCGGAAAAGAAGCATACAGCTTATTAAGAACTCTGGCTATGCCGGAAAATCCCATTTCGATTTCTAATGCAACTCTGAAGGATCTACTGCTAGACTATGTTAAGTATACAAATTTCGGATGTCGCAGAGCAAGAAGAGTTTGTAAAATGATTCATGAGGATAGAAAGAATTCCACTACATTACGTCATCCCAATCCAGAGCATACTGAAGGATATGCAGATAGATCATTGAGGAGTTGCGATACAGTTCACGCAAGTGGGCACAAGTTTGATCATTGTTTGTCCTGTGGCAAGTCCCACTCTTTTAATTCATGCAAATTTCGTAATTCTAAGTTCTTTAAATGTGGTGATATTGAACATATTCGGTCAGTTTGTAATGTTACTGTTCATCTTGCTGCAACGAATATTAAGTCTTATAATTCTGATTCTACTAAGTTGAGTATTTATAATGATCATATATCTTTATCAGTGATTTCACAAGACGGTGTAGAGTCATATAGCAGTTCATAGTTAAATGAAACTCAGAATTCTTGCGAGACAGCAGTTTCTAATCAATCGAATTATCAGATTTCTCATGTTATTGTACCAGATATCATTTTTCTTAATGGTCCACTTATTTCTGATGAAATTTCTTGCAAATCTGAGGAAAATATGTTGAATAAACCTATTCCTTATCAAAAACCTGGTGTAGTTTTGCTAGATGCTGATTTGTCTAATGAACTTTTACTCTGCTATGACATTCTTAATAAGTTCGAGGAAACCATTTCAGAAGAGTCAAATTTTGATGTCATACCAAATATTATTTGTCCTCATAATGCATTTGTTTCTTGTGGGCAACTTGTACAGTGCGAAGCACAAGTACTAAATGAGCTCGATTTCGATTAAAATTCGGGTGATTTCATACCAACTGCTGTTTGTCTTTATCTCGAAGTAACGTCTTATGTTTACTCTAACCAATGTGAGGAATATGTTTTAAATGAAGCCACATCATTATTAAATTGGGGATATAAAGATCCAACATTATTATTTCGTGGAGGAATATAGTCTAAAAGTGCATGGTTCAAATTCTGGGTGGCAGTACACAACCGACATGCTGATTATACAACCCCAGGAAGCAGGTGAGTACTAATGACGGTGTAGCGGTAAATGAATCCCCAAAATAAATAGCTCTATAAGTTTTCGACATTGGATGCTGACCACATGTTTTAATGGAATGACCTAGCTGAAGGCACTTGGTCATGCATCCGCATCAGATCACAAGTGAGAACGTCGTGCTCAACAACCCCTGCAATCGCTAGCCAGATTAGATCAGACAATCCCGATATATTGATAGCCTATCAAATATATCTTCGAACTTCCTCGATTCTGTCTTTTGATTTCACTTGGTGGGTACGATTCATATTAGGTGTCATTGGTTAAAGCGTTGTCAAACTCTGAATACCTGTGAGCCTAACGTGATCTGGCACACCAAATCGCAAACTATGAGTTTGTTCCTTTTTGGGATACTATATATCATTGCCTTTCTTGATTTTCTATACATTGTGATTTTTTTCGCGTTTTTTGGATATATATATTTTTCTCTCGTTTATTATCGTACTTCATATTTCATCATGACTGAACAGACACCCAAAGTACTTAAGCTTAAGACTTTGTTTCCACCTTCGTTCCAACTGATGCCTTTCTGGCCAGACAACATCGAAGCCTGGTTCTCCGAGCACGGAGTGATCGACTTATGTGCAGAATTCTTCGCAGTAGTCAAGGCACTACCGCCCGAATTCAACAGGTACGTAACACCTAGTATGTTTACTGATGATGTTTCTGAACCCTACGAAACGCTGAAACGTTCTATTCTTAAACGCGGAGACCTCACCGATAGACAAAGTTTAGACCAATTCCTCAATAACATCGACCTACCACACGGTTCTGCGACAGACATGTTGCAAAGAATGAGAGAGATTATCGGCCAAAGAACTTTCGATGATGGCCTATTTCAACAGCTTTTCTTGTCGAAACTTCCTCAACAGGTGCAAGCTGTGTTTGTATCGTTCCACAACAACGCCTTAGACGAGCTGGCTGCATCTGCCGACCGCATTCTAGAAATCACAGAATCTTCTAATACCGAGGTTCTTTCAATGAAAGAAAGGCCTCAAACAACCCAGAATGACATAACAGAGTTATGCCATACACTTACGTGTTATCTTAATCTTCGTAACGACCGTAAGAGATCACGCACCCCACGTGCAAGCATTTCACGTAAGCGATCTGTCTCTAGACCACGAGAGACGGATAACCCCGATTGGTGCTGGTATCATAACCAGTATGGAACTTCAGTATCCTGGGATAAACGAGATTATCAGCCTTCAAACATATGAAACTTGAGATGTCTATCCTAATCACAAGGGTATCTGCAGTTAAATGGCTAAACTAGCTTCACTTGACGTTATTAGCTATCTGTAACTGTTCATAAATAGCGGTAATTTAGGGTAATACAACTAATTATTTGTAAGAAGCTAGTCAAAAAATCATCAAGTGTAATCGAAAACTCATCGTGAATAGGACTAACGTAGCCACTTAAGTAAAAAGGTCCCACAAGTATTCGGAGGTTGACAGCGCCTCTACTCGTAACAAATTTACAATCCAAGTGTGTCTAGTCAGTGAAATCAGAAGTCAGAAATGACGAGGCTCGAAGATATGCTTTTAAAGGCTATCGAAATATCAGGAATCGTTTAATCTAAGCTGGATGACTGTTGTCAGAAATGCGTATCACTACCCACCCACTCGTGATCTGCTGTGGATGCGTGACCAAGGACCTTCGGCTAAACGTGTCCATTAAAACTAATGAGAAAGCATCAACTGTCGAACACTCACAGAACTATTTATTTTCGGAATTATTTGCCGCTACATGCATTTTTAACTCAGATTCTAAAACCGTCTGCTCATAATTTTTCTACTGTCTGCTGACACAATAAGGGTCACGTTAATTGATGTTTTAAAAATGTGAGGGATTGGTTGGATGTATTCGGCAGGAATTGCCGGATGTAGGTTACGTGCTATTTGGAACTCGTCCGTAACGTTTATTAGCTATCTCGAGGAAACTGAAACTTTCTCTAACATTCAAATAGCTCACAACAGCTTCACAGTCAGAGTCGTTGCCACTGAGTGGTCCACGTCGTGATTAATCTCCTCAAGGACGGAGATCTACTTACAGTTGATTAATCACTGGGAAGTGACTGTCATGTATGTCAATCACTGCATATTGTCAATCGAACCATCCACAATAGTGGGCACTTTCCAACTTAATCGATAAAATTATGATAGTACCACGAAGGACTTGATATACGTGGCATTGGCCATGAATAGTAAATGCCAATACACAACGGAAAATTTCTATTTGGTTACGAAATAAAGATTAATGCTATTGTAGATGGTTCATCATTGTGATGTTTCTTTCAAAATATCCACAAACCTCGAATTTCCATATATTAGCAAAACAAAACAACCACTCCTCAAATGCTGATCACCATGTGCTATTCATATATACTGAGAGTCCAATTAGTTGTAAAGATGTTTCAAAATATCAGTCGACCTTGAGGTGGCGTTTAGGTGGGTATTTCTGAAAATGTGTGGTTGGTTGTCTTTTTGGTAGACTTCGATACGCTACGAACATATTTGACGTGTCGAAATGTTTCTTTCTCGTTGATTCTCTACTTTTAAAACATTCTAACTTAGGTTCTTGGTGCTACAACGTAATATAAATAATGTTCATTAGTTTTTAGTGGTTTATTACAGCTTCTCTTGGTATATTTTTCCGTTTATTGTGATCATTTAGACCCTGAAGTCTACATATAAGCCCAGTTTTATACATCTAAGTCTGGATTCTATCCCCGTCTCCCTGTTTTGTGGAAATTTCGGGTAGATTCTGTATTTTTTCTCATTGTCGTAAAAAATTTGGCAGTTTCCCCGAAGTTTGAAGGAAAACACCAAGTTTTGGTGATACCTCGAAAGCTGGGGAATTTCCACAAACCTTTCCTATGCAGCTTTTTCAAAATGCCCCCAAAACAGATCAAATTCGCCACGAAATAGGGAGATTGCGAGAGCTTTAACCATAGACTAAAACAATTGAACTAATGTTAGTAAATCAAGTTTCCTTGTATCCTTTGGAAACAAGTATGCTTTAATTCTCTCACTCCTATAACACAAGATTTTCCCTGTATATTCTTTCAGTGGTTGGAACTAAACGTCCTCAACGAACTATGCTTACCAAAACACCTGAATTTTACACCCAAATTTTTTTCCCTGATGTCCTCCATTAATGACAAACTTATTGTCAGGCGTGTTGAGTATTTGTGAAACACAAATGTTACGTAACATCGCTTTTACTTCAACATAGATCACCTATGACAGTCTTCAGTAGTAAGGTTAGGAAGTCAAGCAACCTATGTTAATCCTCACAATTCATATTAATTTGAAGGTTTTAATGCCTCAAGAGATGCCATTATTTTGTCTTACATAGAGTTCCAGTAGTTTTCTACTCATTGGGAAAAACGGAAATTCCGGCTTGGACTATTCGATCTCGATTTTTGATTTCAGAATGATCAGTCCAAAATCTAAATCAAATCTTAAACGTCACGTAAATCATCTTTCAGCATACTGTAAGCCAGTATTAAACCACGTAAGAACTTACAGTAAGAGCAGGAGTAGGTTGTGAATTCTGTCTGTGTTCATAATCTAGGTCAGAGAGACTCTTCACTGTTTAGATCCCTCGTCGTTAGTCCCCTTTGACATCCGATTCATGTTTGATACGAAGGCTCACTGCCTAAATCCCATGTTCTGAATGCGGCCTCGCCAATGGGTTTGATATTCTAGACATATTTAATTGACTCAGTAAAATACTAGGTTATACTCGAGTATCATCACTATTTTGCTTTCGAACACTAGTCAGCGGATTTCTTCGTACCTGCAACCTTAAAATCACTTCAAGCAGTCTACTTAGTCCTAGGTCAGCATTTTCCACAATCCTCTCACTTTTTCTTACCATTTTTTTTAGCCCAAACTTTATTTGAGTTATCCGGTAAAGTGCTGTCAGCAAATATCCTGCCCTTTTCCAAATAATTTGTTTAATTTTAGGATGAGCTATCTGACTTAATCGAACTCCCCAATAATATTCATGGAAATCCGTCTTCTTTCTGTTTGTTCAGGCGTATTTGTATTTCTACTTTGGAGTTTTGGCAAGGTATTCTGTTAATAAAAATGAGACCTGCCCAAAGAATTCTGATCAGTCGGGGGGCAGTGAAATGTTAGTAAAAGTCTCTCTTATTTCATTCCACACTAATTTCCGTTCTTCACTGACGACTTTCGGACCATAACTCTAAGTAGATGATGGTTTTATTTGGGCTTTCGGATGGAATGTTTTAAGAACCAACTTCACAACCGCTCTGTGTCATTTCACTGTTCATGCGGTTCGTCAGAAGTTACTTGTTTTCACCCTTCTAAGTTGGATGTTTAGTTCTTCATTTAGTCGCACTTACAACACTGACCGTAGTGCTGTCGTCATCTTTCTCTCTTGTGGATGCAAGGATTCCTGTTGCTACCTATATATTTATTTGAACACAGACATTGGTACGAGGGGGTGCCAAATACATATGCGCCACACAACAACAATGAGGCAAGTAGCAGTTATCTTTAATATGTGTGAGGGCTTTGATACTGCCCAGGTTCCCAAACCGAGGCAGGTGGTTTTCTCAGATATCCACACCCCGAAATATTGATCTGAAGGTCTAATCCACAAAGCAGTGGGACAACTTTGGGATATGCAGTCCCATAGTAGCCGGTGACCAACAATAGGTTCATACGCCACTTGTTCCCTCAGGATACTGGAGCCCATGTGCACCATTGGTTTGGAATCAGAGTTTTCCAACTCCCCTAGGTGAATCCTCCATATTTACCAACCCGGTTAAAGCGCCGGACATTCGCTTTTCGTTTTCTCGATTTCGTAAACAACACTCCCGCTACGAGAATGCATTGAGTAGGACTTCCCTGATAGTGTCTGCATACACGTCATGTAAAAGCATTTCGGGAGGGGAAGCGGACTCTCTCCACCCTCGGTAGTACCAGAGCCTTCGAAGTAGAACTCTCCAGTGTCGGGAGTCTGACTTGGGCCGCCCGGGTGAAAGCCGGTAAACCTAACCGCTACTTAGGTCGGTACGACATGAATTCACTATTCTAAAAGATGCAAGAAACAACCGAAATCGCAATAGCGAAGCTAATTCACAAGATTTTGAAGATCACTGCCCTTTTAAAGTCGATTGCATCAGTAATAGCGTGCAGTGAAAACAAATAGTTCAATGTAACCCACCACCTATTTAGACAACCTTCCTGTTAGTCTTCTTCCTTAATATACAAACAGATAAATACTACACATCTTGTAAAGGTATATATTAGGTGACATTGTAAAACGTGTGTAATAATATGCAAGGTATTAACTTCATGAGTGGAGTTCAGTGTTAACACCAGCACATTGAGTTAGTTAGGGTTTGAAGTTTTAATACTTTAGTATTTCAGAGATATTTGTTAAAGTATATGATTACTTTTTGAGATTTGCAAACTAGTTAAATACAAAGTAATTTGTTATTTTGGCAATAGATGAAGCTGTTGTTCCAATATCATGAATGTTAAGATATTTAACAGCATATTTTTCTGCTCATTATGCAGCTGTTCTCATTCCATTTGTGTTTCAAATATAATCTGATGTTTATTTTTAAATCTCTGGCAAACACGCTAAATACGGGTAACGATAACTTGCCTCTAACTGTATGCATCCTGCATTATACAATATCATCCAAATCCGTATCAGCATAGGCTAATCTGATGAAGCTACCGAATGAAGATATCAGTTGTTAACCCTTCCTGCAAAGGAAGCTTCTTATGTAATCCCAACTTTTCATCATTAATTGCGGTAACTCATTTACCAGGGACAGGTTTATATACTTAGGTTTAAAATTTGAGGTTTAATGATAATACCCGGCTTCCTACGTCAGAGTAACTAGAGCAGTGTTTGAACCTGCAACGTGCTAAATTGTAATGGTTTTCTGTTACACAAATACCTACTAGGAACATATCACTAACGTAAGGAACGGTGAAGCGACCTAGTTGATTGTAATTTATGGATAGGGACAATTCACCATAATTCAGTCGCAAACAAGTGATTCAAAGTTATCCAGTCAAGTTCGTGATATTTTTCAGATCTTTGATATTCGGTTAGATATCAAAGTAAATTGTTGGTTCGGTGGAATTCGGTTCGGTATTTATACGAACGTTTTGGAGTGGCTTTAGTAAAAGCTCTCACAAAAGATTTAGTATGTAATCAGTAATATATGTATGGGGATATTAGCGCGTATTATTTTCAAGTAAAAGTAAGTGAAATTCGGATGTAGGTGATGGTAGATTCTGATTAGGTAATCAAGAAAGCTGATTATACATTCAGCTTGTCGTCTTTAAATTAAGATAATAACTATATATTTTGTGATATCCTAATGAGTAGAAATTTGTATTTCTAAAGTTTTGTGACTTGATGTAATTTACTTCCTCATAGTAAGTTAATAAATAACTAAAATAATTAACACAAGCCTAAATAGTACACTCGTTTGTTCCTTTTTTACCATTTAAACGTGTGTTATTTTATTTTATTTATTTATTTACTTTGAAGAAGTAATTCACATCAAGTTGCAAAACTTCAGAAATACAAATTCCTACTCATTGGGATATCACAAAAAAATGATGATCATTAACTTTCTATCAAGTGCCTAATTTATTTGGAACTATCAAGTTCAATCTTGGTATTGATATTTAAATTGTATTTTACTTATTGAACGGTTTTTATAACTATTTTAACTATTCTTTACTTTTCTTCTTGGATTATAGCTTTATGGTTTGAGTATATTTCAACCAACACTGCTGAAAGTTATTTCATTCTCTTTTCAATTGAATCTTCATGGAATTCCTGAAAAATGACTTCATCATGGTTAAAGTCGACTACTCCTATTAACTAGAAATTGAAATGCTTGTTTTCAATTAGTGCTTAAGACCTTTTTTCAGAGTACGCCTGAATTACTCTTGGAAAATCTCAACAACATTATGCTTGGAAAAATCATTACTCATGTCCCCAACTTTTTGAAGCGACAGCTGATTTACCCTCACCATTCCTTACTAAATTTGGTGATAGGAAAAGCAGACTTCAGTGGCTTTGAATATAAAGGATCTGACCATTTTCTTTCATATTCCTCAACCGAAAAGTTGGATTCTGCTATCAGAACCTCAGATCAGCACTCCAAAAATGGTATTGCCCATCTAAGTACTATTGAAGATTTAAGAAGCTTTGTGTCACATGTAAGCTTATATATATAGTGTTACGGTGTTTGCATGTTATTACGGAGGTCGTGAAAATGTACTTCATGTGTATCATACTGGTTCTTCTTTTCGGCTTTGAGCTACGCTGTTTAAGTGCTAGTGATGCCACTCATTTACCCAAATCGGGTAAGTTGACTAGTGCTAGAATCTGGGATGCAGTGGTTGAAAGCGGAGCTCATCAACCAATAAACTACTTCCACAAGTATTTATTTCATTTCACAATAATGTGACTATCCTGGCTTATATCCAGTCACATAGGGGATAATTGGGATCACAGGATTTGGGTAGTATCATAGCCCTCGCGCACACCATGGTAACTACTGGTGAGGATTACGAACTTCACTTCCTGCATTCCAAACATCACTAATTATATTACATTTATGGCTATTTTATTGCGTATAAGTTTAATCGGTATCATTTTAAGTTTCTACACCATTTTATTTCCATGTGATTTAGGCTATCCTGTACAATAATTTTTAAATTAAGCTTACTCCACAGCTTATTTCTGTCGAATAACTAAAAATTTGTTTTCTGTCACCAATCACTAAATCAGTTATTTGTAACTATCTCACACTCGACATGATTGAGCTCCACTATTCCTGGAGTTTTAGGGAGAACTCCAGTTCAGTTTCCTATGGTGGAGTCGTGGATGCACACCTTTGAGCAGTCCCATACCAGGTCGAAACAGTTGTCCAGTGCTTTTTGGTTTTCGATGGTAGTTTAGCTAAAATCAGTCCGTAACTTAAACCATGAGAATTCTACTATATCCTTAAGTCTTCAACAAATTCTTTGTTGCCAAACTTGAAAGTCTCATCTCTAATGGATTAATAACTGACGAAATCTCGATACAAGTACAAAATTTTCATTTGCTAGTTCATGACACTTGTGGTTCAGATGAAATATTCACCTGCCTATACAAAATGTTTGTATTTTCTACATCAAACCTCTGTCGATTTACAACTGCAAAAATACATTCTTGCGTTATGAGTACTGGACGCAAAGGAGTCTTTAAAGCCTTGTTTACCTCTGAGTTCGTCAAAAAACCCATTTTGGTAATGAATATCCAGTACTTATAATATTTTTAACCTCCACTGATTTAGATAATCGTGAGATGTGTTACGCAAACCCGATTGCGCTGTACCTTAGTATAATTTGTTGACTAGAAAATGACTAAGGAATAAACTAGGACATAGTATCAATGTGAAAAGTCATCCACCATTGATTTGAGATATGTAGGGGAATGCAGGCTATCTGGTTGACATTTGTAAATCAATGTTTAGGAAAGTTTAGTGATACAACCCAAAGTCGATGTTAGTGGTGCTTATGTGTATTCATTTTCATACTTTTCGTTGTGTACTTTGTTTTTTCTTCTTACACTTTTAGGCCCTCATTTTCGTTAGCTACTTTCCTTTTTAATGTTATAGACCATGACGAGTCAAATAGGTGCAAATTTATAATTGATCGTACCTAGGTATTAGATGTTCGTTATGCATAATTTTTTCTATCGTAATATATACATATTATTCGGCTTTTCGTTATTAAAAAAATTGCTGTCATTTTCTAGTGCATCTCAAGGTAGTCAACAATCTCCATCTTTTCCCACTGATAAATTATCTATTTTATAATTAAATGTTAAAGTTTACCTTTTTTAAAACAAAATCATTTACCTTACGTAGCCTAGTACAACAGTTAATGATATTTTGGACATTGATATACGGTTGCTACCTTCGGAAGCATGTGCGATGTGTTTAGAAGCTTTACTAAGAATGCAAAATCAGTCTTATGACTTACTAATTCGTAATGCTCAAAATGATTTAAGAAATTCTATTGCATCTGGTGTTGACTGGCCATCACATTATATAAAATTGGAGCATATAACAAAATGGCATAAATTTGATGTAGGAAGTAATCCATTCTATAATAATAATAATGACTACTCTTGGATGAAATCGGAAAAATTCGATCTTTTAGTATTAACAACAGCAGCTTGTGCCAATGGTTTATCTATTGAATCTTTACTAAGGCTAGCTGGATATTTTGGAAATTTTTGGGAACGATATGAACCAAAAGTTTATGCATCAGTACTACGTCATATTAATAATCAGGTGAGATTTCAATATTTTTCTATCACTATTTTACTACTCTTAATTTCTAACCATTTTTTTGTGGAAAAAAGTCTTGGATTAAACTGATTTGTGACTGGCTAGCAAAATAAATGTTATTTAGTAAAATATACACGTCTGTGAAGTTGGGCTATCACACAATTGCTAAACAGTGTTTACTGAATCGGAATTCAAATAAAACGAACATTGTATTTAAATGCAAGTGTGCTGTGGAATTTGGCATACTGAATGAAAGATTACTTTTAGTATAATATAAAATATGATAAACAGTGGCATTCGGTTTTCTTATTTAAAGTTCTATATTGACTCAAAAACAGTCTACCAGTTTTAATGTTTTCGTTCACTGTAGTTGGTGGTTAAAACGCTAAGTAAAAACAGTTGTATATATATTAAAAAGTTTTATCCACTTCATCTTAAACCGTCGACCGTGGCTGCAGTTACAGACTTTTCAGTCAAATTTGCTTGTAATAGAATACAATAAATATTCCAATAGGAAAGTCTATTCGCGTTATCCTAATATTTTATGCCACCAGGACTTTCTTTAAATCCTTTTAACAGGACTGAACCATGAAATTCCGTATCGAAAAGCAATACCTTTTGAAGTTCATTAAAATACTAAAAACTCCATAAATACCTCAGATAAAGTTACAGGGTGTAATTAATTACACCAGTTGCTTCAAACGACCAGAAAAGTTGAAAGTGCTTCCTAGTTCCTCTGTAATACTTCAACGTTTTCAGTCTAAAATTTTCTCATTTTAGCCCCGGCCAAACACAGACACAAACTTTCAGTGACAGTCAACTATTATAGTTATGCACTATGAAATATCATAGTTTACTATATTGTGAAAAATTTATCAAGAACTTGCTTCAACGTATTCACTTTTGTTAACAAACAATTAAAAATACTTGAAACATTTGTATATCTATATATTAATGATAGAAAAATTGTGATAGACACGATCAATATTTTGTTGTTAAACATTTGAATTCAGTTGTCGGGAATTCCTAAATTTAGGCTTTCTTCATATCTTATTCCATAATGTTTTTTTTCTCTCTGAGACCATAAATCATGCTGCTCATTAATGTGTCTTATCAAGTTATGACCGAACATCGAAGCCATTATGAATAGTGGTTGTTTTCAAACTTCAAAATTGAGGAAAACGTCTTATTTAATTGACACTTCTATCTCAGTGTACAATCGTTCATCCTATTTTAATCCTATCTTTCACATGGTTCGTATCTTAATTACTCTATTTGTCCGAAATATTTGTTTAACAAGACTGAATTATTAAAATTGTGAAATCGCTTCTTGGTCAGTTCAGTAATTAGTTTCACCTAATGGACATAAAACTTTCTGGTGAGACGTTTTAAAATTGAACAAAACAAGTAATGCTCGCCTTCTCCATAACTTGTATCAATTGTTAACCTTAAATTGACGTGATGTAAAACTCCATTTTGATGTGGTAATGAAAAAGTTTTTACGTCTTTGGCTTAGTTCGAAGTCTTTAAAACCCAGACGACATTGCAAATCTGTTGAATGTTAATTTCTGTTTATATATAGTAATGTGTATTAGTAGTTAAATGACTTGAATTTAAATCATTAGATCACAGCTGCTTAGTATTCTTAACTTTAACACAAAGCTTTTACTTGGACGAGTACATAAACCTATATTTCTTTCATGAGTTAGATAGTCTGTTACCTTTCACCCTATTTTTTCTAATAGATCAACAAATTATCATGCGTTCATTTAGCTCAATTGGCACATGTATTATCTAAATTGAAGTATAGTCAAACTTTTGGATTCCCTCAGGAATTACGTACTGAGATTCATTTATTGGGATCAGCAATCGCTATTCGTTTATTGTCTGGAAAAGAGATATTATGTTCAGTAGATCCTACAGTTGCAATTCGCTTGTTATACGATATACGTTGGGCACTTTCGTACAATCAAAGAGTGATTCTGTTTGATAGTATTTATTATAATCTTACATTGAATAATGTACAATGGAATTTGTATACAGTTGCTTTCCTACTACTTCATTCATGTAAACTAATGATCTATAAACCTTCAGTGATAAAAAGGTTAGTTCAATAGTCACTTCCTTTGGTTTGTTATCATCAATTACTTTCCGCACTAGTTTTCATTTTAAAATACATACACATGACAATGTTATCTCGTGGAATATAATCCGAAGGTAATCTGTATATACTTGATGGCTCGTATATTTATGTATGTCAACTCTAAATATTGCAGAAAATGACATCTATGAATAGTGGTTTGTTGTGATAGCTTATCCTGAACGTAAAGTCAATATTTCTAAATTACATTGACATTGAATTCATTTATTTATTTAAACACATGAACACTGGTACAAGGGGGCACCAAATATATATGCACCACAAAATAAAAATGAGGTTGTGAAGAGGAGAAATGAAAGTGAGTATAATAAAAACAACGATGAATAGAAATTAGTGTATTAGAGTGAAATAATAGTAAATAATTAGTAATAATAATGATAATAATAACGATAATAATAATGGGACTAGCAGTCCGGTTAAGAAAAAATGAAACCAGAAAGAATCTTCTCAGTTAAAGAAGTTACTCTCACTTTTCAGAAGAATATAGAGGTTAGGGCATGATCTCTACTGACTTCTATACTGAGCCATTCATGAAAACGTCGTAAGCCACTGTGTTGCACCCCGACCAGGAAGGGAGTCGTGTAAGACTAACAGGACCCAGTCCTGTACAGCTTTCTTTCGTATTACGACATTTTGTCATGCACTGATCTCCTTCGATTATTCCAACCGGTCTCAGCATCGGCAAATAATGCACGACGTGTAATCCGCCAGGACATTCGTAGGACATGCCGGAGCCACCGATTTCAGTGTTTCAAAATAGTAACACTGCCTTCTCGTGGTAGGAGTGTTGTTTACGAAATCGAGAAAACGAAAAGCGAATGTCCGGCGCTTTAACCGGGTTGGTAAATATGGAGGATTCACCTAGGGGAGTTGGAAAACTCTGATTCCAAACCAATGGTGCACATGGGCTCCAGTATCCTGAGGGAACAAGTGGCGTATGAACCTATTGTTGGTCACCGGCTACTATGGGACTGCATATCCCAAAGTTGTCCCACTGCTTTGTGGATTAGACCTTCAGATCAATATTTCGGGGTGTGGATATCTGAGAAAACCACCTGCCTCGGTTTGGGCACCTGGGCAGTATCACAACCCTCGCACAAGTCAAATGAGATTTGTGTGGCACATATGTATTTGGTACCTCCTTGTACCAATATCTATGTGTTCAAATAATAATAATAATAGTCCTAACATTTGGCGAAGGGTTGACATCTGATCAATATATCCTCAACTAGAAAGAAGACTAGCCTGCTCCTCACGAATCAATCTTTCCTGAGTTTTTAACAATCTACAAAATATGACGGAAGCCAATAGTTTGGTCGCAGTTGGAATTAAACTTATCCCTTAATAGTTGTCGCACGGGTTAAACCCCTTTTAATTATTGGGACGACTAACGACATTTTCCACGAAGTTGGAATACTTTCTGATTCACGAACTTTTACAAACGATTCAGTTGCTTGACAAAAGGGTCGCTACCACTTTTATACAGGGCCGGAGTAAGTCGATTGGGCCTGGTGGTTTGTGACGCTTCAGGAATTAGAGTTCCTCTCGGACTTCCACCTTGTTAGGTGAGTCAGTCGACACTGGTTAAGTATAACAGGTCAGTCTGACCGATGTAATCGGGACAGCAGACCAGTTAAACTGTCCCTCAAAAGACTGTCCATCGTCCAGGACGTCGGTAGATGTCCTTGACTGGCATCCCATCAGCTTTACAGATTGTTTCACTTTCACCCGACTTCTTACTGCCAGCGACTGGAATGGTTTGGAAGAGCTTCCGGCAGTTTCCAGAAGCAGATGCTGCTTCCAACTCGTTAGCGCGCGACTTTAATTGCCATTTTCCATGGCGTTTTACAAATGCAGCCAGTGCTCATCTTTACTTTTCGGTGGGTTGTTAGTTAGCCTAGAATCTAGCTCGGTTTGATATTTAGTTGCAACAGAAGCCACAACCATTTTGCTGATATCGATCTTCCAATGAGTTTGTCGTCCACTGAAACGCAAGACAACATTAGCAGAAACTAGGTCATGATCAGAGTCCAAATAAGTACTTCAAAAGGAGCAGCAGTCTTGTACACAGCCACGCTAGCGGTAGCTGACTGTGATGTGATCAAACTGAGTCCAGGTTTGAGATGCAGAGGGAGCATGCCAGGTAACATATCAGTGATGACTGTACCAAAAGTTGTTGCTAGTCAGAAAGACATTGTAGTCTACGCCAAATTGTAGTAGGCGGTCATCGTTATCTAACCTCCGACCAACAAGTCACAATTGACCCCTTCTAATGACTCTTATGTATCTAGATGCCCAACCTGTGCATCTGATTCTCCGTTCAGAAACATAATACCTGTCGAACTCTTTTTCCGGAGATCATTTGACCATTGCTACAACTCATCGGTGATTGCATCCGGTCTGCAATTTATCGAGGGCATAGGCGGAGATAACGAAATAACCTAGTTTCTCATATCGATTTCTTCTCACTTTGACGGAGCTTTCTAATATAACAGCTCATAATCGGCTGTCAACTGGGATCCAATCGATTAGTGATGCCTCAGATCTATCACCTTTTCCAACACCAGCAAATCAGATTAAGATGCCACAGGGTTCCCGGATGGACGTACACGTAACGAGATTTTCAAACGGACGTTAAGTGGATTTTCCTTACAATTTTTCAAAATCTCCCTAGTTTTTCAGACATTAATGCATATAAATTCTATTGAGATCAAAATAGCTAAATTTGTTTAAAAATAATGACTAATAAGAAATCTCTGAAAACTTAATATCTGTTATATACAAAGTCATCCTTGTGGTTCTATCACTTTGTTTACGAAACACTGACGACGTGTTGTCAGAACAGAATGAAATTCACATCTTAGACACTACTATTAACGATCACTAAACAAATAACTAGTAGCTTAGAGAACGGTTTCATTATTATCGCTATATAAGTGGTTCGTATTGCGTATTTTATTTATAGTAGTAATTTTTTGCTTGCTTTTATTTAACAACTTGTTTGTCTCTTAGTTGTCTAGCTAAAATATCACGTAAATTACGAATATCAGATTATCATCCCAGTATAAATCAATCCCAGTGGATTAACGCTATTCTTGCTGCTTTAGCTAATTATACAGTTAATTTTAATGGTGCAAGTGGAAATTGTGAAGAAGAATTACAATATTTCATTAAACCACCTTGTCGTAATCACAACAACAATACAGTGTCAATATCTAAAAGTATATTTATTCCGTACGAAGTATTTACTTCTGATTGGGTCCAAAGATTGTTCAGTAATATATGTCAGCACGTTACAAGTCAACAAATAGTAGATTATAATTCCTTGAAGTGTTTAGCACAGATTACTTATTCTTTGTCTTTATTTGGTCACAAGGCTGATTCCCTTATTGAATATTTTAATGATGCAATGGAAAAACTTAACAATGATGTTTCCCCTAACATGTCGACATCATTAGCAACTGAATTTTCTCAGCTACAATTATATATGAATATGGCTAAATGTTTACTTACCCCACTTTCTAAAAATAGTAATGAAACTGAAAGTAAGTCCAATTTGTTTTGGTTTGACGGTTTGTCATTGTTTTTTTTCACTAGTTATATCATGTAGAAAGTTTTGTAATTGACTAGATGTTATGTGTGATCTAATACAAATGGAAAAAAATTCCAACCTTTTTAAAGCCAATATTCTATTATTTTTTGAGTTACACAATATACTGTTTTAAAACTAAGAGTTCCGAAGTTGGTTCCCTAAACATTTCCAGGTCAAAATGTATTAGTTGAAATAATAATTAACAAATAATCATATATACAAAACCTAAGACTATATTATTTGATGGTTTCTATTTTAATGTGGATCGATTATCAGGCAGTGTATTCGTTGGAAGTCATTTTCTCAATGAGGTGGTCAACATAAGATTGATAGTTATAGAATGATATTTGTATTCAAAATATTTTTGCATTTCATCCACCCATTTTTTATAATTATGTAATTTTCATACTTGATTCATGAAGTCCCCGTATGGGTACCTGACCGTGGCTGTTATCTTGACGTGGTGATTGGGATTGTCTGTTGTGATGACCTGCTTTAGGTCATACCATGTCAGATAATTCGATTGGGGAACGGTAAGATTAAGAGCAGGGACCTAAGGTTCAAGGGCGAAGTCCTGCTAACTGTAGAGGGGTGCGACAGCACCTGCAGTGATACCACCTTCTTACAACTGAATGAAGGAATTATAAAAGGTCGATCCTAAACATGTCACATGGATTCCCGTCTCCGACAGCGAGGCTTTTTGAAGTACGGCTCTGATAAATCTTGTATTTGAACGCCAGATTCGGTCTCCTAAGCTCTTCTAATAACCTCCAAGCTAATCTACACGGCAAACAACACGAGAGAAAAGGCGCGAAATATGAAAAGCACACTTTACTCCAAGGTCCGTTTATGTAGAGGAAATCTAGGGTATTTATTGCATTTTAGATGACCTTAGGTTTCCGAAAAATGCTGGAACGCTACTAAACATAATAGCGGTATAGGTAATCATCCACTCAGAAGCGCGACACATGACGTTCCACTTTCTAGATGTTTCTGACAAAACTTTATTGAGTGCTGGTTGGATGAGATGCTTCTTAACGTTTTCAGACCCCCTTTTATCTTTTTTCGAAGAATTTTCTAGATCTCCCCAACAGACTCCAGCACATCAAAAACTTCCAATGAAAAGGCCGTGTGTACCCGGCTCAAGCAGTTGTCCTTTGGGCTCTGTGGTCACCCTCTCAGGTCGTTAAGATCACCATTAATCAAGTTTCGATTTCGCTTCCCTGAAGAAATATTCTTCCACAGTATGGAAAGCTGGAAGTGACAACCGCCCCCATACCTGTAACAGCATCCTTGACCATCTCCACGGCTAAATTCCTTCGTCACATCCTAATACTTATCATGTCTCCCACCAACAACCTTTTTCATATATCCCTATCACCGCGCACCATCAATGCTAATGATTCGAGTTCACGTAAGGTTATTCCTGGTCTCCTGAAAATATTCTTTAAACTACATGTTGGTACTTTCAATGTTCGAACCCTGTGTCAGACAGAAAACATGTTTCTTCAGCTAAGACAGTAGAATCTCGCGCTATCGATGTATGTTTTGTCTTCGAAACGCGCATTTGGGATCCTAGCATGGTCATTCGTCTGACCTCACGTTATCACCATAAACAACCGTCACGATTAACCCTTCAGTTATCTGGAGACCTCAGTGCTACTTCCCATGGCATTGTCGGTGCAAGTATATCGTTAAGATCCAAAACAGAAAAGGCTCTGTCAAAGTGTATTCCGTTAGATAACCGTCTGTGCGCTGTTCGACTAAACAAGACAATGAAACTCGGACACATAGAGACACCCACCGCTTCCTTTTTCTCGTCTCTCCTTGTACGCACACTAGTTGTAACTCGCATGTAGTTAAAGACGAATTTTACAGAAAGCTTTCCACCTTCCCTCACAAAGCTAAGCGCTCTGATGTACTAATAGTGGCAAGTGGTTTTAGTGTCTTTGCAGGCAATCCAAAAATAACTGAAATACATTTAGGTGGATCTCGCGGTACCGAGGCTCAGCGACCGGCTGCTGCCACTATGCGCAGATAACCGTTTATTTTTAGGAAGCAACAACTAAGCATAGGGAAAGAAGTGGTCGGACATGACGACCCCCACAATCTACCCAACGATGGACTCAAATATACCACATTTCCATCAGCCATCGTTCGACGGGCTCGATAAAAGACTGTCGCTCATCCTAGAAAATATATTTAGACTCTGATTGTGTTTTAGTGCGAACACATGTCTGTCTTCTTTTAACTGTATGTAGAAAAGCCACACCAAGAAGACATTAAAGTTCAGCTAAATGAAGTTATATATATGATTCAGAATCGTATGCAATGTCGCAGGTACATTCAAATCACTAACAGATGTCACTACTATTTCCACAGTTCTTTGTATATTTTTCCAAGCAATATCTGGGTCGGCCTCGTTTTTAGAACTACCAAAGTGTGAACTCAGTTGTCCATGGAATCTACTTTTAGTTTTATCATCACTCAATTCAATTCTAATGAGTCTTTTTAGCGTGGCTTTTCTGTGTCCAGTTAGGCGCAAGTAGATGCGTGCCCGCATTAAAGTATGGTTGAAGTCCAAGCAGGTATTCCAGAATGAGCGACAATCCTCTATCGATCCTCTCCAACGATGACTGATGACAATATGGTCTATTTGATTCTGTCGTTGGTTTGGTGTAGGGGGTCGTCATGTTAGACGATTTCTCTCCTTATACTCAAAATCAGTGTTTGTCAGGAATAGACGATTGTCTGAGCACAGTTACAGCAGGCGGTTACCATTATCTGTTCTCTGAGCCGAAATACCAAAATACCCACCTAAGTGTCTTGATGTTTGGTTTAAGCTACCTGGGCATTAAAGTCATCTGCTACGAGTACTATGTCTGAGTGTTTGGCTTCTTGAAGAAGTTCAGAGAACTTTCTGTAAAAGTCATCTTCCACTTCATCCGGGCTGCAGTCAGTGGGAGCGTAGGCAGAAACGACGATAAGGCAACGACGTGTGCCCCCATCATTCTGAGTTCCTATGGAGCCGTTTAGCTGAACAGCACATTAATGACTGTTGTCGGGGATCCATCCTAATAGTGCTTGTTCTAACCTCGTACTCAGTGCCTTGTTTACACCCACCAGTTCACGAGAACTAGCCATCGTGTCGCCAGATAAACAGAGGGTGTATCTCATCGATTCTCCGTTTTGGCGAGGTGAGGTCAAGTGAATGACCACACTAGGACCCTATATGCGTGTCTCAGAGACACAGCATACGTCGATGGTACGAGATTATAGGGTTTTAGTCAAGGGGTCCTACTGGCCGATTTGACATAGGGTGGGTACGTTGAAGGTTCCAATGTGTAATTTGGAGCGGGGTTTCAGTAGAGCTGGGACAGTATTACGCGCACTAGGACCGTTGATCTTGGTGTCACTTGAGGAGGAAGTTTATAGTTGAAAGTCGAGGTATGAGGAATAATAGAAATTGAAGAAGAATATTGATTATGAATACAGTGATCAGGAGTGTTGTTTGGGGTATGAGGGTGGTTATCACTTCTCGGTTGTCCACACCGTAGAGGGGTTCTTCTGGAGGTACCTGAAAATGAAATAGGGTTAGAAGTAATCTTAGTGACCTGAGATCGTGACCACAGTGCCCAAGTGACAATTGCTTGAGGCCGGTCGCACACGACCTTCTGTTGAGACCTTACTGCTAGAGGCGGATATCCGTGGAGTAAGGTTAGATGTTCAATGTTAGGGTCGGCCTTTTCTAACTCCATTTCTCGTGGGAAGGCAGCATCGCTGTTATGCTGGTTATGTGAAGGAAACACTACTGCCATCACACCGCTGTACAGTCAACAGTACGACTTCGCCCTCGAACCGTGGGTCTGCTGCTCTTTAACCGAACTGTCTGTCATGGTAGGACCTTGGGGAGTGATTGTTCCATCCAGTATAGCTCGACTTGTTCATTACGATAGACAAGCCCGGCTCCCACGTCAAGGTCGCCGCAACGATCGGGATAATTTTTACTAACAGTCATATTTATAAAATGAGAGGTAAACTACTTGACTGTTAACTATAACGTCACAGGATAGAATTTAGTTTCATCTAATTTGGTTTGGACAGCCAAATGATATCATCAGCCTTCATAACCAATAAACAGAGCTCAAAGCGGGTTATATGTAAATGGACTCATTGTAATGGAAATCTAATCACCCCACTGGATAATTTGAGTATGGAAAATAGTATTGGACGTTAACATATTCTCATAGTTTTAAACAGTTTAATAGAAACAACTCATAATTATAAAAGAAAGTTCCAAAAGTGTAGACAAATAAGTTTACAATAATAAAATGAGAACATTATAAAATAAGGTGGACATTTCCACGTAACACACGTTTTTCTATCTTTTTATTTATAGGATACAACTATAGGTTTATGCACTTTCAGGCTCTCACATTGTTCAAGTCATCAGTCAGTGGTTACATGGATCAGTACTATTTCTTGACCAAAGTTCTACAATATTTTCACTGTATTACTCCATATTATGACGGTTGATAACTAAACACGTACAGTTCATTTCTCAACTAACTATGTTGGTAAGAGTTTAAGACAAAATTTCGGTTAAGCTCATTACTAGCCACTGAACTGTATTTGCAAATTAGACCAGAGCTATTCTCAAGCCTTTCTGGATTTCTCTTTTCAGATTTATCAAACCATGATCATGACACAGTAGCCGTTAGTGTTCTCTATCCAGGTTCTATCTGTACGATGTGTAATTCCGAAAGATTTATCAAAGCCGTTCTACCTCTTAATTAAATGGTAACATCTACTAAATGCCATCGTATTTGATCACAATTTTATCTTAGTAGTATTTAGACTTCTCCATTTCTGAAGATTTTTAGGCAAGACCTTGTAACTAAATGGCGTATGAACCAATTGTTGGCCACCGGCTACCACGTGACTGCACCTCGTTACGTTGTTCCTGCTTCGGTCTGGGCACCCGGGCAGTATGTTGGCAGGTGTGTAGACTACCTGGTAGGGGACCGCGAGATGATAGCAACCGATGGTTAGAGATCCTGAATGACATGGATCAAAATCGTTTGCAATGGCGCAGGTGCATCCACTCTTTGTGTTCTTTTAAATTCTAATCTCCTGGATCCTCATTGTCTCTTTTTTTCTCTTTCCAAATTTATTTCACTGGATTATACTCTTTAAATAACATCTTCAAACCCCAATCTTTCCGATTACTGCTTATACCTTTACCACCTCTATCACTACTGGATTTGGATTGACAACTGCATCTCTGTGCTAATGTCGTGTGGTAACTCAAACTGATGTACGTACGTACGAAGTTCTACGTTGTTACTGACTGACTGATTCGATTTCGCTTACTTTAGCGTTTGCATACATCTAATTTCGATAAAAACAAATGCTCCATGAAGCAACAATAATGCTCTAATGTTTTTTATAAATGTCAATTTGTTGGGATATAATCTGGGTTCATAATGGGGTTGAATTTATTAGCTATAAAGAAGTAGATGTAAAAAACAGTCGTCGATGTTGTATTTAACACTAGGCCCTCAGAAAGCCCACTTAAGTGTCATTGTGCTTGTCTGGGCTTCGTACATAACATTTTATGTCATTAATTACGTCGATTTCATTGACAAATCTCACCAAATGAAGTGTACTTTTTTAGCTTTACATTATGATGCTCTATTACATCGTTCAACTTGTAGTCAGTAGGTAGTCACTGAAAAGAGTCTTTTTTTTCTTTAATGTACACTCTAGGGTCCCCAAAAGGATTCGACTAGGGACATTTCTTTCATAAAAGTTCATTTCCCGATACTTTGGTTGTATATAGATTTTTGAGAAACAGACTTTATGCCAATCTTTATGAGTGGTATCAAATCTCATTTTCAGATCTGATATAGGATTGGCCATGTTGAACCTCATAGCTCATGCACATGCCTGTATAGTTTTAAAACAATATAGTCGTTGTTGTGCTAATTTTTGAAATTCATTAAGTGTTAGTGCTCTTTGGACCTTTGATAGATAGACTAGTGCGCTATTCCATATCCGTATTACATTTCGAGTTACGTTTGTCTTCAGCATTAAATAAAAATAATCTTTTCATAATGATCATTTATTGGTTATTGTTAATTTTTCTAAAGATGTTATTTTCCTGGTCGTGCAACATCACCAATTGATTGGATTTAAATATTTAAAATATTAAATGTCTGTTCATTGGTTTAAAGGTTAAGGATTCGCCACGAGATTGAAGGTCTTGGGTTCAGTTTCCTGTGGGTTTGTGGGTACACACCGTACTAGGACGAAATAGTTGTCCAGTACTAGTTTTTTTTTTAAAATTGATTTTCGAACTAACATCAGTCCATGATATAAACTGAATATTGTTATATGGATTGTTAATCAGGAAATTTATTTATTGGGTCAAAATCCAATTTTTGTTTAATGATAAAAATAATAGTTGTAAAATCTCAATCAGTAGAAAATTACATTTTTTACATTTTACAACTTATGTTACACCAGTTCAATGAATAAAAATAAATAAATAACTTTTAATTTGTAAGAGAAATTGGTATATTTTACTTAATGCTATCCCTGTTCTCAGTCTAGTGAATATAAAACTTTTATTCATAAAATTCACTAGTAACCAGACATGATTGAGAAATTTAATCAATCTAGTTATTTATATTCAATATCTCTTCTATTTAATCATATGGTATTCGACTAAGTGAAGTTTAATAAAGCAAGTTAATTGAGTTTAAGAACTCAATGTAGTATATATTCAATTTCTTAGTGAATTATGTTCCTTACTAAATTTGTTAAAAATTACTCAGAAAGAGAATGTTAATTATCTGGAATATTTTATGCCATTTTGTCTGTTATATACTGTGAGTAACTACAGTTTCTTGAAAGTGGGAATCTTATATGAATGCACACTTATTCGTTTATTTTACTTTTTAAGACGATTGGGATTACCATAATAATATATTTGTGAAACTTAATTAAAGTCAATTGTGTTCCATGTAGATAAAAATAGAGATTTTGATTGATCGAAACTCTTTTTGAAGCATTTATTCTGAATTCACTATATGACTTTTTCAAAATTAATCTCTTCAAGATATTTTAATACGATGATATACGATTAAAACTAAAATTTTTGTGTGCTGTTCTTTATGTTTCCTCATTAGTTATTGAATATGTATTGAGTCATTGTTGTTTTGTTTTTTTTGGTTTCATTTAGAGCTGTCAGTTTCTTCACTACCTAGTGATTATTGGAGATTTTATTATCATTGTGGTCTTGGACTTTTACAAAGGTTTGCTTAATTTTTATTTAATAATTAATTTCGCTGTTCGGATAATGAACATTATGATTTGTTTGTTTAGTTTTTATTTCATCCAGAAAACAAGTAAATTTCAAAAGGAAATGTTATATTTAATTTTCTCATGGGCTGTAAAATGAGTTTATTGGCTATATCAAAGCAGTTGTTTTTCTCAAAAGGTCATCGGATTCTCTCATTTCATATGAAATAAATTCAACAGTTGCATTTCATTGATAGTCGTTAATTTTACAGTTTTACACCATATCTTCTTTCACATTACTTGACTTTAATTATGAACCATTTGATTTAATCTTTCAATGTAATCTAAGTAAACGTCATTATTGGTTGCGAAATACCCACTTTTCCATATAAAAATGCTCATATTGCTTTGAATATAATCTCGTTCCGATGTCCTGTGGAAGACTTAGTGCTGTTAACGTCCATGGTCAAAGTTCAAAGAGGTGGTTAGAATGTATCGTATAAATATTGTCGATACCTGATTAAGATTTTTTTTCTCATGTTTTGGTGGTGAGTGAATTTCACCTCCTGATGCATTTACTTTTGATGGAAATTTGTTGATGATAAATATAAGTCTCAGAGAATAGTCTCAAATATATGACTCATGAAAAAGTTTCACTTGATCATTTTATATACCTACCATAAATACATGGAATTTTAAGTCGCTCATTCGTTTTCTTCATTTATACTCACAAATCGTTTTCAATTAATCTTAAGAAAATTTATAGTTCTTATTTTCAGTCGACATGTACTTGTATGATAGATAATTACACAAGTTTCACACACAGATAGATGACAAAATAACTGAAAATTTATGCGAAAGGTAAACGCGTAATATGGTGCTTTTTGTTAATTTTCAGATAAATTTGAAGTGGATTATTGACATTTCAAGTGATTTCCGATTGTAACGGGATTAAAACTAAACTATAAAACTAGACGTTTAGTCGTTTTTCAATATCTTGTATTTTAATTGTCGAAATGAATCTATTTAACCTGAATCAGCCTTGGAAATCTAAAGAAGTCACTCAGTTACTCTCTGGAGTTCAGTTTTATGTGATGGCCTGTTAATGAATGAAAGTTGTAACATATTTTTGTTAAGTATGGTTCGATTTTTCAAACACTTTAGGCGTGTTCTGTCTTTCAATGACTAACCATTATTTCATGCCGAGTCACCAGTCAGAATCCTAATTCTTATTTTGTATATTTGACGTCTATTATTTTCTCTGACTTGACCAATTACACACCTGATCAGAATTATTAGCCTTGTGCCGAAAATGCATTTCCTGTCAATCCGTAGTTCGCTGGCTTCTCCATATTCCCTCCCTTATGTCCGAAAGCTCATATTATATTTACATTTAAAACAGACGTTGTTTGTGTATAGAAATACCGGTCCTTATCATGATAATTCGTTAATAAGTCCTGGAGGTTACCATTCCTCTAATTTTCGCTTTGACATATCAGGACCCGACCATTGTAAGTCTCAGTTTTTTTCGAATCTGTATGCACTAAAACTTTTTTATTGTATTTTTAGCAATGAAATAAACGATCCAGGGATTTCCAAAAAATTGATAAATAAAAGAAAAACCGTGAATCGTTTATACCATGTGTTCCTTAAAAATAGTGACCTGTTCAAAGAATTAGAAATGGATACATTTCAGTGTATACTGTATCCTAATAGTGATAATAGTAACGTATACTTTGCAGGTTAGTATATCACTTGACTCTTCCTTGTCATATCATGATATGTTTTTTATAAACTACGTATTACAAACATTTATTGAATGTTTTTCGACGTATCTATCGATTTACTCATTATTTAAATAATTTAATATGATGGTCATCTTTGTGAAATTAATGGTGGTAGGTACTGCTTGGATATGCAAATAACAACACAAATTCGTTTCGTTGATAGAATATAGTAATTATAATCAAGTAACTAAAGTTATTCTAATGTAGGTAAATAAGATTTTTGTATGAGTTCTAAAACTTTTATACTTTTCTAGTTAAAAATAACTTGTAATCGGATGTTTAGATATAAATTAGTCGTTGTTATTCTCACATCAGAATCGATACAGTTCAATTTTTCCACGTAAATTATATACTACTACTATTAACTCGATAGTATGAATCGTTCGAGTTAATGTTTGGCAGACTAGCAAATTAACTTATCCCTACCATAAATATGCACTATGACCTATTTCACCATTATATTGTCATTTAAATTATTCTATGTAGATTATAATGGTATTGAGAAAAATTAAATTATAAATTAAGAAAAAATGTGCTATTTGGAAATTAATTGTAAGTACTATTTGACAGAAAATTGCCCTTAGTAAATTTTATATGTCTTATTCGTCAAATGGACGATTTTACTAACCTACTATCAGTTGATACAAAATTGATTCGAAAACAACTGAAGAGTAGAAAATCTTATAGCTGGATAATGACTAGTTATGATTCGTCATCTAGTCTAAAATTGTTTCCATTGATTGCAACTAGGAATAGACAAAATCACTTCACTCTCTATAAAACTAGTTGAATTATGAAAAAGAGATTGTACAATGGCATTATTGATCATATTCAGTTTATTTCCATAGCTTGTATAATCACATTTTACCCAAATAGCATTTCATTACCGATCAATGTTCTTTTTGTCTAATAACTGTAGATATTCTGTTTAAACAAGTATGCGAACAACACGAAGGTAATTCAATATTTTCTGTTCGTGCTCATAACATTCTCTTTTAATTATTTGATTAATCAAAATGAATAAATTATGTCTATTTCTTTGATATTTTATTTCTAATTTTGAACTATATATTTGTATATAGATGTGTCACACTGCTTACTTACTTATGAATTTTGTCATGAACTTATGAAGTTTATTTATATCAAGAATAAAATAATTTATGACTGAGAATAATACATCATCATGATCAGCTTCCTAATAATCTTAAATTTCGCACTTCAACTACTAATATGAATTATTTCAAGGATATGAACTCTTTGATCGAATGATGTTACGCGATTATATAATCCGAGAAAAAATTGTCTAGTTCGTTGATTTTTGAACAGTTGTCTAAACTGATCAACTAAATTGTTTCGTTATAATTACTTTCTTACCCATGTTATCCCTCGTGGAGAAGCATAGTCCGCCCATTAGGATTCTTCATCGAACTCTTTCCTCGGTTTCATTATAATTATACATCATTTTTTCCAACAATTCCTATAATTTTTAACTGTTAATTCGTCTTTCAATAAATGAATTAGCTTCAATATGTAGTACATTTATAGAAATTTAGTCGAATGTTGTCTTGTTAAGATAGATACATTTTCATAAGTTTTAATTTAAAAGTGTGACACTTTATTTCTTCTAAAATTTGCTCTTGGAAATTGTTTTTTATTTTCAACTTTTTCAGGTAAATGTAATTACGTTATTTGTATTGTACATGAAAATCGTGATGAGGTCGCCAAAGGTCCGTTACTTTCACTGTTAAACTTTTATCGTGAAACACAATGTTTACCTGTTCTTACGGTAAGATTGAATTTTCAACATTCTAATCATTCTGTTTAAATGTGACAATCAATCTAATACAATTTATAATTTAATATTTTCTTATTTCGAATCATTATAATTATTTCTATGGTAATTAAAAATTATATTGTCCGTTTTTTCTTTCAAAAAAAAACATTTAACCGTGAATATGATCATTTTTGTTCGGTAACAAACAAAGCTCTTGTAAAGAAGTAAAGTGGATAATGAATATTCTGAATAATGCAAAAGTGAAAGATTAAAACTTGTAAAACAGATTTTATTTTTATTACCTTTTCAAATAATGGTCTTGACGGGATGGATCTAGAAAAAACATTAAAAATGATCGATTTTGTTTGGCATATAGAAGACGATCGAGAAGAATTTTAGTTGTTTCATTTTTCTAGTTAAATTGATTCTACAATTCAACACGATATCTCGTCATTTTAAACGTCATAAAATTAAGATCAATCATATAATCTTGTGCTTTATAGGGCTTGTTATTTTGGGTTTTTTTTTGCTCAATGAATTCATGACTAATCCTGGGTAATAGTGAGTGTTTATTACCAGTGAAATGTATCGAACAATTCTGTTTTGTACAGAATTGCGAATAAACATAAATTTTTTTAAAGAACTAAAGAAGTTATTTAATTGTTTCATGTTTGTGTATTTTGCTTTCCAGTTTAATATTTGTACTTGGAATAATTTGCCTTATACTGAAGCCAAACTAATTATGGTACAAAATTTTCTACGTGAAGTATCAAACAAATTAAATGAAATGAATAATTTACATCTACCGGAAATTTATACAACGAATCTTGTTCTTCATCCAACATGAATTATTAGGCTTTAAATAGTGTGTTAATACAGGTTTTATGTGTACACTTTCTAGACAAATGTGTGTATAAACAATTCATAGTTTTGTATGACTAATATACTTTAAGAAAGTGCTTTTTTTCTTTTGATTTGCAATGGATCTGTTACATTCTGAATGTTTTCGTACTGGGCAAGAAAAAAAAACCAGTAACTTCAGCAATGTCTTTGTATTTTATAGTTAATGATGAGTAGATTTTAACAACCTTACTGCTTCTGAATTTTGTCTCAGTTTTTGATATGGAAAGTTCTCATCTTATTTTCCATTCTAGATTATTTGTAACGATATACGGTATTACAAAATACATATTTCCTTGATAAATCTATTGTTTTCTGTTCTATTCACTACTAGTATGTTAAAGTTTTGTGGAAAGAATTAATCTTTTTTTTCTACTTCACTATTAAGGTGATGATAATCTGTACGATAACTTATATTTGATGTTAAGTAGAATTATTTACTAACCGTTAATCTAGTAAGAATTCCTATTTCATACTAGCATCTTCTTGAATGTGTTTGTTTTTCTTCAGGGTCTACTAAAAATCAACTTCTTTAAACTTGAAATGATTGTAAAATTTATTTATTATATTGATATTTAGGATTTAACTTCTGATAAACTTAATTTTCTTGTAGATCTTAATGAATAACCAATAGGGTTGTTTGTGATTCCGATTAGTTTATTCTATAAAATGATTATTTAATTACTCAATATTCATTTTATATAAGCAGATAATATATTGACCAGTTATTACACGAATGTTTAATATGTGCGTTAATAAATATTCAGCTTAAAAAGATCACCTTTGAAAAGAATAATATTTCTTTAAGGCTGATTGGTATTCACTAAGCAAGCATCAATTAAGCGACGTTGTTTAAAGCGAAATTTCTATTCGAATTTCACTTTTGATGTTTTAAACACTTCATAAATAAAGTTTGTTTTAACCTAGTCAAGGTTAAATATAACGATTTTCACTTACGATTTCTAGGAAGGTGTATTTACACTGTAATCATTGATTCGACGGCTTGTACCAAATAATTATCGCTATATTAAAGAGTTAAACATTTTAAGTAGTTGCTGTGAAAGTACGATCGACTGATAACAAAAATTATATCTAAAAACGAACATAATGAATAAACCTCATTTTCATCTTATAAACTTTAATCATTGATGTGATCGAGTTGAAGAAATACCATACCACCATAATTAGTGAATTTCTTATATTTGTAGTAATTGATTAAAATATATTCAAGGTTAGTATTGTCTTTATCAATGAATGAATCGGAACAAGTTTAACTTTAAGTGACCTGTTGAGTTCATAAGTTTGAAGATTTAAGTAAATAATAACATTTTAATTACAAAGATGCAAATGTGCAAGTGGATTTTTTCAAAAATATAGTGTGAAAGCATACAGTAAAAAAGGTGAGAATTTGTGGATATCTTGTTATAATGTAACAACTGACTGATAAAATGATGCGATCCCTGTTCATGAGTGAACAGATAAATTTTTCATAGAATAGACTTAATCCTAACTAAATTGATTTCAGCAAATCCAATCAGTCCATTGTGTCTAGATATAAATAACGTTTTTTATCGTGAATGAATGAATAATTTTGAATGCAGCAAATAAGGTTGACTTAGTGCATAGAAGCTGACAAGGAACTTTGCATTGTGCAGTGTCGTTAACTCTTTCATTTTTTAAGTATTAAGTACGGTCTAATTAACACTTCCTATATGTCACACTCTATATTTCAATTGAATCATGGCCTCCCCATCTGCAGTGTTATCACGGAGCAATTGACTGTTGTAGTTACTGCAACGATGTTAGTGTTCGAACTGAAAAATTTCCTGTTTGTATGAAAGGGATTTTAAGCTTTTCAAATATATTAAAATGAAAGTATCTACTTTCTCAATCAATGAAATTTTCAACTATTACTAACAATAGTGATATATTTTTAATATCCTAGCGATTAGAAAATTCTGACGTCTTGTAGCGTAGTTCAAGTCGTTTCTTCAGAAGTTATCAAGTCGAACCTCGGTCGTGATGTTTTACGAATTGCTTTTTAATAACTTAACATGTTATATAATCAAACCTGAAGTTTCCCACTATACGGAGTGTTTGTTCACAGTCAAATAGATTTCAATGGGGCCATTTATTAATCAACTGAATAAAGATGTAAATATAAGTAAGAAATACTGTTACTCTGTATCTAGTACGGAAATAGAAATAACCATTCAGTGATGAAATTGTAATGATGAGAACAACCAAATAAACACTGATTGCTTTGTGACTTTCATTTCCGTCCCTTTTTATTTGTACGTTTTGTTAACTATAAGATTATAAATAAAGGTGATAAATATACTGAATGATTCAGACTAAATGGCTGAGTCACGTGTAAGAAGTTGCTTGCAAAACGGTACTGCTACTCATGGCAATTAAAATTATGTGTTTTTCAAACCTCTAATGTATTTCAACGCATCATGAAACAACTGAAAAAAAGAAAGGTTTTTCTGCAATATATATTGAAGAGTTATTTACAATACACATCAATAATAAGCAGTAGCTATCCAAACTCAAAAATGAATCTTTAACAAATAGAAACGTTGTTCAAACATACAAATTGCTACATAACAACAAATATCGAATGGATGCACAAGAAATGAAAATAACTCATTAGAACGTTAAGAGAGTACAACTTCACTGAAAAATTGATTAATATATATATATATATATATATATATATATATATATCAATGACTAGAAAAATTATGTTTGTGACTTAGTGAAAGCCATTTCTTCAGAGTAAATAAATAACCGAATTGAATTAACACAAGCTTAAATAGTATTATATTTATTATTAACTTTCTACCCAATACTCAATTTTTCTTAAACTATCAAGTCAAGAATTGGATGGAACTAGAAAAGTAGGCCCAGGACAGAGTGGGTTGGAGAATGCTGGTCGGCGGCCTATGCTCCATTGGGAGTAACAGGCGTAAGTAAGTAATCAAGTCAAACCTCGGGATTGATGCCTGTACATTTGTGAAGAATTATTTATTCGTCCTCATTCTGTAGAACGTTTCTTTTAAAACACTTATATGATATTTCCACAGTTTATGCCACGAATTGATCTTAGCTCGACTATCACTGAAAATCTGGATTCAATAAACGGTTGTTTCGTCTTAGTATGAAACTAGTCAGCAATGCATATCAACAACTTTAATATCAGGAAACGAACCTAGGACTTTTTATCTCGCTTGTGAACACTTAAATTTTAAACCGCTAAGCTGGCATCCAACGGAGTTAAGGTCTGTCTTTAACCAACTTACGATCTTGAACAACCCTCATTCATCGGGCGTCGTGGATAACTGCCTCACACTTTTCACGGATCGAACTCCAATGGTCACAGCTTCTCACTAACACAGGGGTACATCTTGATGCTAATCGTTAGTGAGCACGCGACTGTTATTAATATGGAGGATTTGTGTAAACTATAAATGTTTTGGTCAAAATTATGAGATAATCTATCAGATTGTCTAATTTAAAACCTTACTACAATTTCTCCATATTTCACACCATACGACTTCTAAACATTACATCAGAAGACACACTCGACATTGTTAACAATTGGTTGAGTTGTTAATTACACAGGTAATTTGTAAACCATGTGTTGGCACTCAATGTACTTATTGTTGATTATTTCCCTTGAAGAAACTTTCACCTCACAGGTGATTAAAACATTGAATTTCAGTCTCTTAGATTGTTACATATATTATTTCCTTCTTAAATGAATTATATGCCACAGATTTATGTAAATGCCTAAAAATGCTACATATTATAGTCTAGAAACGAAAAACTATGTGCCCAAAATGATTGATAGTGACATAACATATTGCGAACTAGTAATTATACAGCAAAACATACATGAAAGAACCTAATATGAAGTAAATGAAAGTGGAAGGAACAAACAGAATTTATGTACTATTATATTTGCTTAACACTTTATAAGTTGAGAATTAATATCGTCTTTCGAAGTTTATGCTAATTGGTCAATAAGTTGTTTTGTCACACGAAACTGTAAATTTTGGCAGATAACTCATTATTGTCACTTTGTACTTATGTTAAAAACACATGATATTCTTATTAGTTATGAGACGTAGACACTAAATACTCTCAAGTTAATATAACAGATATAAAAATATATTTGTCAAGGCCGAAACTCTTAGTATATAATGTAAATACCTAGATTGTCTTAATTGGAAACACAGTTGAAGAGAATTTCCCAAATGATAATCGATAAAGGTAATAATTATAAATAGAAGTGAATCTTCTGATTCTTAAAATTGAACAGCTTGGTTGTATTTTTACACATTACGAAGATACTATGTATTATATTTGTAAGTAGTACAGAGTTTCTCGAGAATTTTTCCTGTTTATTTTTGAAAGTATTTTACTAATTCTTAAATGGCGTTACATTTTGTTAGCCCTAACTTTCCTACTCATATCACCTTTAGGGATTGTATAAAGCAGCGCTACTATGAAGGTGGTTTTCACCGTGAACTGTTTTTGACAACAGAACCATTGGAAGCCAAGGATAATTGAAAGTTTTTTTTTTCCATCGAAATTTATAAAAGGGACTAGTTGCTTTAAACTTTTGTTGAACCAAAGTAGCAATAGGCACGCACTCGCCATCACTCAAATAATCGCAAAATGTCCAAATATTTTCAGAAGAGAGAAATTCCCATTTACCAATGCGGTTAGTTAATATTCATAAGAGTTTTTCAATCCAGAATATTTGTGATTTAACGAGTCTTTCAAAGTTGTCGGTGAATTTCTATTGCTCTATTCGTTTAACGCTTGGTAAAACTTTTGAAAACCTGTCACATGGAGCTAGTCATGAAGAGAAATAAATAAATATTATTTAGTTGAACAGTCTGTGGGTAGCTTTCCACAACTTTGTTTAATGAACTG